GGGAGGAGAAGGAGGGACGCGACCACAGTGCTCTACTCAAAACGAATACCCAACCAAGGAGGGCTGGGAGAAAAAAAACAAGAAGGGGGGGGGCTTCTGAGAAGGCGGTCGGAGGCCTTCTCGGACGCACCTGGGCTCTTCAGGGAAGGCCCTTACCGCTCACAGGGGAGGCGCAGGCACGGACCCGCGACGCGCGGACTCGGGCGTGGCACATGCCGCGCCCACGCCCTGGATCCACGGACCCCACATGATCCAAGTCAGCGTGCGCCCGGTTCTGTGAAGGCGCCTTGCCCTGGTAGAAGGCCGCCCCCATCGCGCACACCCCCGTGTGCGCGCTGCCAAGCTGACGCCGCCCCTTTTCTTGCCTTTGATGATCCGCCACCGTGCCCCCCTGGAACGCCGAGGCGGGGCAGCTACAGAGTGTTGCCTGGGAAGAGTGCTGCAATATAATCTGAAGGCTCTCCCCTTGTCGACGCGACGTGCCACGTACACCGCCCCCTCCCGAGGCCGCGGTCCCCGATCACGAGTCCTGAACTTCGCGTTCCCAAGGCAACGATCCCTCACCAAAAAACACTGCATCCGCGCTCCCGTGGTCACGACCCCGCCTTAAAAGAAGTTAAGATCCCGCCCACCCAGGGTCACGATCCGTGGCTTTAGCATCAAAGAGAAAGGATCCGCGCTCTTTGGCCGCCAAGATGGCCCAACATGCATCCAAGATGGCCGAATATGGCCCCGAGGCGGCACAAGAGATGGCCCCAAAGACAGCCCAAGAAACCTGCAAGACGGCCCAAGAGAGCCTCACGAAGACCCCAGTGGGGCCCGCCGAAGCCAAAATCGCGTGTGTTCCTTAGGTGTTGCTCAAAGACTTGGGCGTCATCATCTTTTCGGGCGGCTCTTAAAGGCTTCCAAAATGTCACTGCACCGACCTTGCAGACGTGCTGCAGCCGTTTTTTGCTTGCATTTCTGCCAATGCAAACCCCAGAACAGCGGGTAAAAAACGAAGTGAATTTCGCGTGGATTTTGGGGGGGGAGCTCATTCCTGGCCAAAAAAACGCGCGAAATTCACCTCGAAATCCGGAACGAAATTCTCCAGGACACTCCAGGCCCATCCTGTTGTTTTCCGAACGAAATCCGCTCTGCGATGTTGGCGCCATGGAAGATGGCCCCAGCACGGCCCAAGAATCCTCCAAGGCGGCCCCAGTGCGCCTACACGGTCCGGGGGTGGCCTCAAGAGAGCCACAGCCTGGCCGACGAGGGTCTCCGCGCTAGCCCAGGACGGCCTTCGAGAGCCCCTCGACAGCCCAAGACGGCCGAACGACGGCCGCAGGAGACCCCGCTTGCGGCCAGGAGAGCCCCAAGACGGCCCAAGAGAGGCCCACTGCAGCACAAGAGGACTCCAAGACAGCATCAAAGTGTTCCAAGACGGCATCAAGAGGACCCCCAAGACTGTCCTGCAGGAGCCCAAAGACGGGATCAGATAATGAAAAGAATACGACGATGACGAAACGAGAACCCCCGACACGCTGCGGAAAAGTGTTTGTGTGTGTGTCACATGTTGCGGCTTTCCCAAGCCTCGGGGCACGAGGTGTCGCACGTTGCGGCCTCCTGTGCGCCCCCCGAACCATCGTCACCCGAAGTGCTGGACTGACGGCGGCAGGACCTGCCGCAAGCGACCGAATATCGAACAGCGGTGATCCGATGGCCGCGGCGCACTTCCTACTAAACTGAAGGGAACCCTGGGGACGGACTGCTTGGAGCATGTAGCCATTGCCAACGGACTCCCGAGCACGAGCGCGAAAGACGAGGGAAGACGGGGGTGGGGGTAAGAGGGTAGAGGGAAGCTTTCGATGCGCACAAGTGGGGCCCAGTGCGCCTCAGATCCTCGCGATGTTCCCAGGGGGCCCGGTGGGTTCGAGGCGAAGGGGGGGCGGGGGGAGAGGGGCGGAGCGGGGCGGAGCGGGGCGGAGCGAGCGCGTCGAGTCCGACGGCTCCAAGAGCTGTTGGGGCCTTGGTCTGCCACAAGGAGCGCCCAAAAAGCTGCGCAGAGGAGCGCCTCACAGACCTGCCGAGGAGCCTCAGAAGCTGCTGAGGAGCACCTGAATAGCTGCCCTGGAGCCTCAAAAGCCGCTAAGGAGCGTCAGAGGCTGCTAGAAAGGAGCGCTCGAAAAGCTGCTGAGGAGCGCTTTGAAAGCTGCTGGAGGAATCTCAAAACCTGCTAAGCTGCGCCCTAAAAGTTGCCAAGGAAGGCCTTAAAAGCTGCTAAGGAGCGCCATAAAAGCTGCTAAGGGGTACCTTGAAAGCTGCTCAGGAGCGCCCTCTGACTGCTTAGGAGCGCCTTCAAAGCTGCTAAGGAGCGCTTCAAGAGAAAAAGATAGAGCTTCGAAAACTTCACGATATTCAGAACTTGGAACCTGACTACCTACCAGACCACCCCGACTCAACCCGAAGACCCGAACTTTGGGTTGGGGGGGTATGGGCTCCATATGTGTTCTTGTCGATGTTCCCCGACCCTCCCCCACTGGAGATGGAGGGCAAATTGAAGCCTTCTGGTTGGGTTGGGGTGGCTTGGTGGGTGGTGAGAACCGGGGAATGGACCAGTTTACCGGAGAAGGAAATAGGGAAACAAAAAGTGACGTAAACATAAAAACTCGGAGGTCCGCGCGGATTTCTCGGATCGGCGCTAGGCCCCCTGGCGGCGCCTCTGGCGCCGCCCCCGGCGCGCTCCGCGCGCCAGGGAGGGGGGTCCAGCGCCGATCCGAGAAATCCGCGCGGACCTCCGAGCTGTTCTGTTTATGCCACTTTTTGTTCCCCTGGGAAAAGCAATCGTCCCCCCGCCGACGATCGGCCACACGCGAGAGCGACCCGAGGCCAGAGCGACGCCCCTGGAGCGCGGCTGCCGGCGGGGCGCCAGGGCCCCAGACCCGCGCGCGCGCGAGCCGCCGCTGTCGCAGACTTCTCGGCGATCCGGGGCCCGCACCATGAGGCCGCTCGGGGGAAGGGCCGGTCTCACGCGTACAGTCGGGGCGTCGACCGGAGGAACCCCAAATAAGGAACGAGGCCCCTTTTTCCCGTGAGATACACTTCGATCTCCCGTGGAAGACCTCATGAAAACCTGAGGCAAGCTGTGAAAGAATTGAGGGACACGGAGCCCCTCCCCAACAAAAAGGGTTGCTTCTTCAGCGACCCGACTGTACAGACGAGCGCGTTCCACTGCTCGCAAAGTACACACTCGCAGATGGCCCGGGCCCCCCGCGGGGGATCTGCGGCAAGTTACGTCAGAGCAGGCATGTGTGTTTTCGGACGTCTGCGAGTAGGCACTCTGCGAGCAGTGGAACGCGCTCGGTGAGTGTAGCCGAAACGAGCGAGACGGGACTCGGCGCCCTGGTCTCGCGAGGCAAGCGCGCCGCGTGCGGCGCCGACCGGCATCGCGAGGCAAGGTCGTCGCAGACGGGGCCGCACGGGGCGCGACCGCGCCGGCGCAGCCGCGGCCAACGCGTTCTTCGGTGCGGTGTTCGCACGGAAGCCCGGGTCGGCCCTAAACACACAGCGGCGGGCGGCTCCTCCTCCGCCCGGCCCCTCCTCCTCCTCCTCCTCCTCCTCCTCCTCCTCCTCCTCCTCCTCCTCCTCCTCCTCCTCCTCCTCCTCCTCCTCCTCTTCCTCCTCCTCCTCACAGCACACGCCCAGCCCGCCCCCCTCACGGCCCCCAGCGGCGCGCGGCAGCGCCCTCGCGCGCATTTGTGGCGCGGAGGCGCCGGCTGGGCGCAGCCTGCCGGGCCCGTGCGGGCACGCGGCGGCGCGGCAGTGGAAAACGGTGGTGGCCCTGGACGAGGGTCGCCACGAAGCGGCGGTAAGAGAGGGGCAAGGACGAGAACGACGACGACGACGACGCCGACGCCGCCGCCGACGACGACGACGACAACGACGACGAAGCAATGGATCCTGACGCGGCCTCGGAAGGAGGTTGTTTGTGCCGTGCTGACGTACTGCAGAAGTTCCAGGCCTGAGAAAATATAGGAAGAGGAGGACGAGGAGGAAAGAGAAACGTTTTTGGACATCTTGCGCAGCACAGCGTGCAGATAGTGGGAAAGAACGAGAGGAGGAGGAGGAGGAGGAGGAGGAGGAGGAGGAGGAGGAGGAGGAGGAGGACCAGACTTAACTCAGGGCGCACCAACGATGTTGCAAGAAACCCTCCCTTCAAGCTCCCTCTTTATTGTTCCCTATTAAAAAATCATATTCGTTACGGGAAGTGTCACATTGGAAGAAAACCGTCTGAGAATCCTGCATCGTGCCAAAACACCATTCCTGGGACTGCAGCACCGCGAATCAACGTGATGGTTGCGTCCTGACACATCTGATTCGTGCAAAAACACCACTCCTGGGACATCAGCACCGCGAATCAGCATAACTGTTGCGTCCTGAAAATCCGAAAATCGTGCAAGAACACCATTCCTGGTACTTCAACCATACGAACCCGCAGCTTTTGAAACGAAAGGCGAGGGCTACATGTTGAAAAGGAACCGCCCTCTACCCTTGAAACTTATGCAAGCCTGTAAGACGAATGCGCGTGGAGATAAGGCGAGAACCACATTCTGAAAATCGCCCGCCCTCCTTTTAATACGAATGTGCGCGGCGCTGAAGCGAGAGCGCCACACTTTCTCAAAGGATCCGTCATCCATTCTTGAGACGCTGCAAGCTTTGAAGACGCATGTGCGCGGCGCCAAGGTGGAGAGCTACATCTTGAAAACGACCCGGCCCCCGCCCGCGAAGCTCTTGCAGAATCCCAAGCTTCAGGATCACACATGGCGAGGAACCCTCAGGCGAAACGGGGGTGCAAGCTGGAGGACTTCTCTATAAGAAAGCAGGACGGAGGAGAAGGAGGAGGAGGAGGAGGGAGGATGGAGGATGAAGGAGGAGGAGGAGGGAGGGGAGGCAGGCGGAGGGCCGCACGGCCCGTGAGGGGCGACGCCACTGCGGCCGGCCCCGTGAGGAACGACGAGGAGGACGACGACGACGACAACGAAGGGCAGCCTCAGTGCTGGCTGCTCTGGCTGCTCTGGCTGCTGCGCAAGTGCAGCGCCTCGGGTGCGGCCGAAGCCGGCCGCAGCCGCGGCGGTGCCCCTCCGCGGTGGACCCCCCCCACCCCTGCCCTCTTCCTCCTCCTCCTCCTCCTCCTCCTCCTCCACCTCCTCCTCCTCCTCCCCCTCTTCCACCTCAGCCTCCCTCTTCCCCCTTCTTCCCCCGGTGGGTCGGCATCGGGAGAGGGCGCGCCTGAGGCAGCGAGGACGACGTCGATCGCGAACGGCGAACACGTGAACAATCGTCGACGCCCTCGCAGCCTGGATCCCGGGGAGGGGATCCCGCGGATGCGCGGTCGTGTGGACACTCGCGCGGGGCGTGCGGGGAGCAGCGTCCCCTGTCCAAGGGATCGCGGGCCCAGGCGACCGGCCCGCGAGGCCGTGGATGTGGATACGCCTGTTTCCCGCCCACGGGTCGTGGATGTTCGCAGCGCGGCTTGCCAGAAGTCTCGACCCCTTCCCCGGGGGACCCCGCTCGATCCTGGGTCGCCCTTGTTGACGGTCCTGGGGGGCCGGCGCCCGAAGGCCGCGAGCGGCCCAAATACTCCGTCGTGACCGGGGAGGGCGCCAGGGAGTGGGCCCTGGGGAGACGGCGCGGGGTGAAGAAGAGCTGGCCCCACGGGGGGAGGCGAGAGCTCTGGGGGCGCCCCGAGTTTGTGCTCATGCAATCGCTTCTCCCTCGAATGAGGAGCTGGCCCCGTGGAGGGGGTCGAGAGCTCTGGGGCACGCGGGCTGGGAGAAGAGGTGGGACTGAAACCCATCAAGTTGGGGGGACCACTTCGAATACACCCCCCCGCACCCCCCGGCCTTACTATTGAGCAGCTGGTCCCGGCGATGAGCGGCCGGAAAAAGTCTGAACCCAAGCTCTCGATCGCAATGCATTCCAATTGTAAGGCAGGGGGGGGGGGGGGGGATTCGGTTCTTTGTCGTCGGAGCGTTGTTGATGCAAAGTTTTGTTCCTTCAACGGCATGGCTTCCCCCGCCGAGACGTGGGGGATGCCTGGGGCTGGGGGCCGCCAGAGGACGGGCAAGAGGGGGTCGCTCCGCCGGGGAGGTGGTTCGGCCGCCCCCAGCTGCCTCGGCCACGCCCAGCCGCTCTGGCCGTGGCGATGCTGGAGAGACCTGCTCGCAGCAGGAGGGTGGCAAAGAGAGAGAGAAAGCGTGGCCCGCTCTTGCCGCGGAGGCGCGGGCGCAACTTCGCGACACCGCATCGCCCGTTCAGTCTCGAGCAGCCCTGCTGCCCGACAGCGGTGACCGTCCAAAGACGGCCCGTCTGTGGGCGAAGGCGGCAGCCTTGGGCGCCCGCGCTGGCGTCGTCGCCGCGTCGACGCGGCGCGACTCTGCCGCATCCACCATCACGAAGCCTCCGCAAACCCGTGTCGGGCCCACATCTAATTTGCAGTTCCCTGCATGCGTTGATTTTTCTGTGTACATACATACACACATGTAATGATGTGTACATGCATACAGGCCTACAAATCTACCGACCGACCGAACGACCGACCTACAAACATAAAGACAGACAGACTGAATGACTGACTGACTGATGGACAGACAGGCATACATGTACACATATACATATACATGTACGTATACGTATACATATATCCGCCACCGCCGGCCCCCTTGCCAGGCCACCAGGGTGTGAGAGTGAGGATTGCAGCTCACTGTTCCAATTGCAGTTTCCAGTTTCCACTGTTACAATCCTGCATTCTGCTTCCTTACTTTGAATTGTTGTTGAACGCGCGAGGTGGGGGAGCCGAAAAGCGTCCTAGTTAGCGTCCTCGAAGCGCGTTGTCTGAATTCCTAGGGCGTAAACATACATGATATTCGCGTCCCCAAAGCCATAATCCAAAGTAAATTACACTATGTTCGCGTCCCCGAAGCCATAAACCCTCATGAATTACTCAATAGTCGCGTCCCCGAAGCCAGAATCCCTCGAACACTAAACAATCACAACCTCGAAAATTATACTATATTCGCGTCCCCAGGGCCATAAACCCTCGCAAGTTACAGCATACTTGCGTCCGCGAGACAACAAGCCCTCGCAAATTATACAATATTCGCGTCCCCGAAGCCATCAACCCATTTTAACTTACAACATACTTGCTTCCCCGAAGCCATAAACCCTAGTCGGAGGTGAGGGGATGAAATCGAAGTAGAAAGGAGAGCTCCCCTACCGGGAAATCGGTTTCGGTTTCGTGTTCGTGCGTGCCGCGCGTGCGGGCGAGGCGAAGCTGCGTGGGCGGGCGAGAGGAAAGTCTCATGTGGCTGAGGCGCGGCCGGACCAAATGACTCCCTTCCGGCAACCGGTGCCGCGCGGTGTCCCGCCGAGGTCCCGCTGTGGCTGAGGCGCGGCCGGACCAAATGACTCCCTTCTGGCGTCCGGTGCCGCGAAGTGTCCCGCCGGTGTCCCGCCGGTGTCCCGTCGGTGTCCCGATGATGATGATGATGATGATGATGATGATGATGATGATGATGATGATGATGATGATGATGATAATGATGATAATGATGATGATGATGATGATGATGATGATGATGATGTCGATGATGTCGATGATATTGATGGTGATGATGATGATAATGATGATGGTGATGGTGGTGATGATGATGGTGTCCCGATGACGATGATAATGATGATGATGATGCTGATGATGATGATGTTGACGATGTTGATGATGATGATAATGGTGATGGTGATGATGATGATGATGATGGTGTCCCGATAATGATGATGTTGATGAAGATGGTGATGATGATGGTGTCCCGATGATGATGATGTTGATGATGATGATGGTGATGATGGTGGTGTCCCGATGATGATAATGATAATGGTGTTGCTGATCCTGATGATGTTGGTGACGAGATGATGAAGATGAAGATGATGATGATGATGGTGTCCCACTGATGATGATGATGATGATGATGCTGATGGTGATGATGATGGTGTCCCGATGATGATGATGTTGATGATAGTAATGTTGCTGATGATGATGGTGTCCTGATGATGATGATGTTGATGATGTTGTTCATGATGATGATGAGATGATGATGATCATGATGGTGGTGTTCCGATAATGATGATGGTGTCCCGATGATGATGATGATGTTGATGATGATGGTGACGATGATGGTGCCGCGATGATGATGATGGTGATGATGATGATGTTGGTGATGATGGTGATGAGGTGATGATGGTGATGGTGTCCCGATGATGATGATGATGATGCTGCTGCTGATGATGATGATGATGTTGATGACGTTGATGACGATGATGTTGATGGTGATGATGCTGGCGTTGATTTTGAGATCGATTGTGATATCGATAGTGAGATCGATAGTGAGACCGAATGTGAGATCGATTGTGAGATCGATGGTGAGAACGATAGTGAGATCGATTGTGAGATCGATAGTCAGATCGATTGTGAGATCAATCGAATGAAATAGATGGAGTGAGATCTATTGTGAGATCGATTGAGTGAGATCGATCGAGCGAGACCGATAGTAAGATCGATAGTGAGATCGATAGTGAGACCGATCGAGTGAGTGAGACGTTGGTTCCCCTCCCCGAACCTCCTTATCACCCGAAGGGTGGTGGTATAGGTAGATTATACCATATTCGCGTCCCCGAGGCCACAAACCCTCATACATTATGCCACATTCGCGTCTCCGAAACGTAAACCATTTTTAAATTACGAGATAGTCGCGCCCCCATGACCATAAACCCACGTAAATTACGGAAGGCTCGCGCCCCCGAAGCCATAAACCTACAAAAATGAACAAAAATTCGCGTTCCCAGGACCATGAACGCTCGTACATTACACCGTAATTGCGTCCCCGAGGCCACAAACCCTCGCAAATTACAAAATTGTCGCGTCCACCACCGTCCCCACCACTCACCACTGTCCCACCGTCCCCACTGTCCCCACTCCTGTCCCACTGTCCCCTCACCACTGTCCCCACCACCACCGTCCCCATCCCATTGTTCCCACTGTCCCCACCACTGTCCCAGTGTCCCCACTGTTCCCACCACCGTCCCCACTGTCCCCACCAGTGCCCCCACCACTGTCGCACTGTCCCCACTGTCCCTATCACCACCACGGTCCCACTCTCCCCACTGTCCCCACTGTCCCCACAACTGTCCCACTGTCCCCATTGTCCCCACACCTGTCCCACTGTCCCCATTGCCCCCACCGCTGTCCCACTGTCCGGAGTGGGGGAGGGGGGGGAGTCGTTTGCTGGCGGCGAAGGGGGGGAAGGCGGGAACCGATAGTGACCCCCCCCTTTTTCATTATGGACCAGGGGGGGGGGAGGGGTTGGAACCCCCAGTGACCCCCCCACCAATTTTCGAAAGGAAGAGGGGAGTGGTTGGGAACCCCCAGTGACCCCCCCTGGTTTTCTGCCAGCACCGGCAGAACACGCTCTTTAATATATCTATATATATATATATATATATATATATATGTATATATATATGTGTGTGTGCACATAGATTCATGTGTATATACCTAAAAATGCGCATATACACAGACATGTGCATACATATATATATATATATATATATATATATGTATGTATGTATGTGCATGGAAATACACATATCAAACTTCATACATATATACACAAAGACGAAAGCATATATACATACATACATACATACATACATACATACATACATACATACATACATGCATACATGCATACATACATACATACATACATACATCCATACATGCATGCATGCATGCATGCATGAATGCATACATACATACATACATACATACATACATACCTATACATACACACATACCTATACGTATATTTATATATTCATATAAACATACACAAATACACATACCTGTACATATACATAAACAAAAACCTATCCATACACATGTAAAAAAATACATCTAACTATATGCATATACACGTATACATACACACACGTATATGTACACACATGCACATATGCCTATGCAAAGACATGTACATACGCGTATACAAATACCAATGCATATACACATACACATACCTATACACATACATAAACATGTATAAAAAAAATACAAAAACAAATATCCTGGCGAAGGACCCAACCATATGCAATTGTGAGTACGGCAATTGTGAATATCTTCGTCGGTGGCGCTCCCTATGGGGCCACGAAACGTGTGAGGGGTGTGCCGAAATGGGTGTACCACCCCTAAGAGACTTGATCTCTCATAGGCCGTGTCTCCCCAGGCAGAGTAGGAAGACGTGTATACATGGGTGCATTATGAATGTGTCAATGTATACGTACATGTATAGTTGTGTGTTCATGTACATGTATGTATGCAGGCATGTATGTATGTATGCATGTATGTATACATGCATGCATGTATATATGTACGTAGGTGTGTATCTAGATATGGCTGTATGTCTGTACGTTTGCCTGTCAGTATGCGTGCGTGTAAGTATGGATGCACGTACGTACTTACATACGAATGCTTGGGTGTATGTGTGTATGCGTGTGTGTATGTGTGTGCGTAGGTGTGTAGGTATTTATGTGGGTAGGAATGTGTATATGTATGGAGGCATGTGCGTATGTGTTTGTATGTGTGCGTATGTGTGTGCGTGAGTGTGTGTTTGTGTGTGTATGTATGTGCGTATAGATGTACGTATGTATATGCATGCAGAGTTGCATCATGTGTGTCTGTATGTTTATGCATGTGTGTATGTGTGTACGTGTGTATGTGCATGTGCGTGCGTATATATGTGTATAGATGTGTGTACGTGGTTATGTATGTATAGATGTATGTGTGTATGTATGCATGTATGTGTATATATATGGGTGTATGCGTGTATGTTTGTACGCATGTATGTATGATTGTATGTGTATGCGTACGCGTGTAGGTATGTGTGATTACATTTGCGTATATATATATATATATATATGTATGTTTGCATGTGTGAATATGTGTATGTATATGTGTAGGTATGTATGTATGCAAACATGCATGTATGTTTGGACGTATGGTTGTATGTAAGTATGTGTGTATCGAGTGTATGCATGTACATGGGTATGCATGTATGTATGCGAGTTTGTTTGAATCGGTGTATATATGTGTGAATGGATGTACGTACGTACACATATGTATGGATTCATGTATGCATGTATGGATGCATGTATGTAGGTATGCGTTTATGTATGTATGTAAGTATATATGTACGTATGTATGTATGTATGTATGTGTATGTATGTATGTATGCATGCATGCATGTATGTATGTATGTATGTATGTATGTATGTGTGTATGTATATGTGTATGTGGCTGTGTATGTGTATGTGTATGTGTATGTGTGTATGTACGTGCAAATGTGTGTATGTATGCAGGTATGTATGTATATGCACATACAGAGGTAGCGTTGTAGTATATCGTATTGTGAGTGCGCCTGATGTTTCTTCTATTGGTATCCACGGTCTCCGAGCCAGTCTGGACAGGAGCCGCTATATCCACCAAGGTCCCAGACCCAAGGCTGGGCCTGCAAGAGACTCGGTGGTGGATCGGTGGACAGCCCCCCTCCAGCACAGGATCAGGGAGGCAGCCTTCCGAGGAAGCGAGAGCACGAGGACGCATCTGGACGAGGTTTTAAGTCGGGAAGAGGGCCAGCGGGTCTCGAGGAGCCTCCGGGCGCCGTGGCCGCTCCGGAACGACCTGGAAGGCTCCGAGAGCATTCCACAGCGCTCTGGACCGACTTGCCCTCCTAAGGACCAGGGCTGAACCTAAACGGTGTTTTTCGTTTCATTGTGTTTCCGTTTTCCCTCGTTTTGTCTCCCATCCGCCTTTACCGCAAAACGAAATCGAAACGAAAACGGCCCACGACATCGCCAAAAAACACCGTTTAGGTCCACCCCTGCTGGGGACCTCGCCGCGGTCGCAGACGCTCCATCAGGGGCCGTGCTGCCCGCAACTTCCAGGGAGGGGGGGGGGGGGGGGGCATCCAAGAGCGCGGCCAGCCCGACCCTGCGCCCTGTTGCGAGTGGCTGGACCTGCCCAGGTTGGGCCGCCTGCACGCCAGCAGGAGCCTGCGGCGAGACAGATCTGACTCCACTGGCTCTTAGCCCTGCGGCCCCGGCCAGCACTCGCAGGGGCTCGTGCCCACTTGGAGAAGAATCGCCATGCGCCGCAAGCGAGCTCCCAGAGTCCTAGGTCACATACCGTCACGCTTCGCGCCCCGCGCTGCGCGACGCGCGATTGTCTTCGCGCCATCGTGCCCCCCTCGCCGCCCCCGCTCGGAGAAGGGCAGGCGCTCTGGGGAACTGCCCTGCGCCGCAACCGAGCTCCAAGAGTATAGGTCACATGACGTCACGCATCGAGCCCCGCGATGCGCGAGTATCGTCACGCAATCGTGCCCCCCTCGCCGCCCACGATACGCGCAGAGAGATCATCTCCGCACCGCCTCGGGAGGCCCAGGGGGCTCGGCCCGAACTGCCCTGTGGGAACAGCCCCGTGGGAACAGAAAACATAAGACCGGGGATGTCAGATCGGTCTTTATCCTTGCGGCGCGAGATCCTGGCTGTGCTGCAGGAGGTGCTGGAGTTGGTAGATTACCAGGTTCATGTCCAGACTCCTCGCCTCACCTTTCAGGCGTAGGCACCCCTCCAGGAACTCGTTGTAGCCCACCTCGCCACTCTCGTTGCAGTCGAGCAGGGTGAACAGCACGTGGGCCTGCCTGCTGTCCAGATCCGCCAACCCCGCCTGGGAGACTGCCAAGAGAACCCCAAGAGAGCCCTAGAGGGCCCTGACAGGTCCCCAAGACGGCACATACCAAAGAGGCCCCCAAGGCAACTTCCAAAGGCTTTGAAAGCCGATGAGCGCCCTAAGATGGCCCAAGAGAGTCTCAAGATGGCCCGAGAGAGCCTGGGTAGGCCCTCAAGACAAGCTCAAGACGGCACCAGAGGTCCCCGCTCCAGCGTGCTCCCCAGATGGTTACCCGACAGCTCGGGTAACGCGCGGCCCACCACCAGTGCCCCACTGCCGCCTGACGTTCCACCACACAGGCGCCTCCAAAGTTGGGGGCCTCACCACGATGTGGTGACAGACCGTGCGGCGACCTCGGAACCCCCAACGACCTCGCCGCACAGTCCGTCACCGCACGGGTTTTTGACCTCGGAGGCCCCCGTCGCCCGAGACGTCCCCGGAGAACGGCCCGAGCCCCCAAACCGTGCGGCCGTCCCGAATCCCCCCTGGACTCGCCGCGCGGTGTGGTCCCCGCCCCACTTGGGGGCCTCCGAAGAGGGCAGGGGGCGGCGCTGCTTCGCCAGAGTCGGGTCGGGCGAAAGGGGGGGGCCAGCAAAGGGGGGGGCTTGACTAAAGGAATGGGCCCCTCGGTGGGGCCGAAACCAGCTGCATGCAGCAGATTTCGGAACCCCCCCCTTTCCCAATCCCCCCCTTTCGTCCGCCCCGACAGAGGCGCCGTCGATCCGCCGCCACGGCCGCGGGGGTGCTCCTGGCGCTCCGAGGCGTGCACGGCGCGCCTCGGGGGCCCTCCCCGGGCGGTGCTGGCCGGCTCTCGGCCCGCCGGGGCGTGCCCAGGCCAGGCCCGGGCAGAACGAGGACGCATCGCGCCTGGGAAGACGGCCAGGATGGCACAGGATGGCTTCGAATCGGTGGCCGCAGGTGAATCCTACAGGGCAGTTTTTTGAATACATAAGAATCTCAAAATATATGATTTCTAATACATGATTAAGTTATGAATACATTGATGCATGAACTCATCGTTGTTTTTAAAACTAAATCCCTGCATGTTTTATACATGATCCGCACGCGGAGCATGTATCAAAAACGGCACTGTACCCCCACCCCCACGATTTCTGAGGGGGGGTGGGGGCTCACTCCGCTCGGGACCTCCCGAGCGAACTGAACCCCCACACCCTTTTAGAAATCTTGGGGGGAGTGGGGGTGGAGTTCAAGTGTGGCCACCGATTCCAAAGACGGCCCGCGACGCCCGCTGCGCATTCGGAGCAGTGCGCTGGCAGGGAAGGGGCAGGAACCACGCGAGCCCCCGCGCGCTGCTCCGAGCTCCGGCTGCCGAGCGAGCGCCAGCCTGCCCCCGGCCAGCCGGGCCCCGAGTCCGAAGACATTGGACTCGGGCAGCGAGGCAGTGCGTGCCACGCACATAAAACACCATCGCGTACTCATCCATCTGCTGCTCGCACAACCACCACCACAGTGCAGGCGTGCAGGCGACCCAAATGACGACCCCGACACGGAGTCGATGCAGGAACGGCAGCTTCGAAGACGGCCCAGGGCGGCCCCACGGCTGCCCCACAAGAGGCCCCCCAGGACGCCAGAAGAGGCCTGCAAGAGGAGCCCCGCAGGAAGTCCCGACGGGCCAAAGATGAGCGAGTTCCCCCGAGCGTTCAATGTTTTCGCGCCCTTGATTTCTCGAGCTTCCGAGAGCCCAGGAAGGCCCAAAATGCCCACAAGATCGGCCAAAGAAGACCCAAGACAGTCCCGAGACAGCTGCAAGAAAGGCCAAAGAGAGCCCTCAAACAGAGTGCCCCCCCGACACGGCCGAGCTGGCCCCAAATATAACCTCCGAAGGCTCCACGCGCCGAAGAAGAACTGTCTGATTATACTAAGAGGCATCCCGAATGGGGTCCGAGTATACGGGTCGGCGCGGCGGACATCGGGCCCCACATCGAGCCGCCTCGTCGATGCATCGGCGACGCGGCGCGATGCTTCCATCCCAGCTGCTTGGACCCCACGCGTGACCCAGGGATCGACCTAAACAGTGTTTTTCGCTTTCGTTTTGGTCTTCAATCCGCCTCTGCTGCCAGACGACATCGAAACGAAAGCGGCCCACGAAATCGTCAAAACATCGTTTAGGTCGACCCCTGCAAAGCAGCTTCTTTCGAAAACGCTGCCATCGCCTGGATGGCCAGGCCGCGTGCCGCTGGCCTTTCAAGAGGGGCGCCTCCAGGGGGCGCCTCTCCACGAGGTCCTGCAGCCCAATGGGGAAGGCCTGCAGGACCTCGTGGAGAGGGAACCTTCGACTGAGTGCACGGCAGCATCGCTGACGCGTCGTGGGCTCACTCTGGCCCTCCTCCTCCTCCTCCTCCTCCTCCTCGTCATGGTCATCATCATCATCATCATCATCATCATCATCATCATCATCATCATCATCATCATCATCATGATCATCATCAGCAGCAGCAGCAGCATCAGCAGCAGCAGCAGCAGTCGCAGCATCATAATCATAATCATCATCATCATCAGCAGCAGCAGCATCATCATCGGAATCATCATCATCAACATCATCATCATCATCATCAGCAGCGGCAGCAGCATCATCATCAGCAGCAGCATCAGCATCAGCATCAGCATCAGCATCAGCAGCAGCAGCATCATCAGCAGCAGCAGCAGTAGCAACAGCATCATAATCAGAATCATCATCATCAGCAGCAGCATCATCATCATCAGAATCATCATCATCAACATCATCATCATCATCAGCAGCAGCAGCATCATCATCATCGTCAGCATCATCAGCGTCAGCAGCAACGACATCATCATCAGAATCCTAACCATCATCATCATCATCATCATCATCATCATCATCATCATCATCATCATCATCATCCTCAACATCCTCATCATCATCATCATCATCATCATCATAATCGTCATGATCATCATGAGCAGCATAATCATAATAATTATCTTCATCATCAGCAGCAGCAGAATCAGCATCCTAAGCATCAGCATCAGCATCATCGTCCTCATCATCATCAGCATCAGCATCAGCATCAGCATCATCATCATCAGCATCATCATCAGCATCGTCAGCATCATCAGCATCATCATAAGCAGCATCATCGTCAGCATCATCGTCAGCATCATCAGCAGCAGCATCAGCATCAGCATCAGCATCATCGTCATCATCAGCATCATCAGCAGCATCATCGTTATTCTCATCATCATCAGAATCGTCATGATCAGCATGAGCAGCACCATCAGAATCATCATCATCATCATCATCAGCATCATCATCAGCATCATCATCAGCATCATCAGCAGCATCATCATATCATGATGTTGATCATCATCATCATCAGCAGCAGCATCATCGTCATCATCAGCATCAGCATCATCATCAACATCAGCATCAGCATCAGCATCATCATGAGCATCGTCAGCATCATCATCATCATCATCATCATCATCATCATCATCATCATCATCATCATCCTCGTCATCATCATCATCATCATCGTCATCATCATCATCCTCAGTATCATCCTCATCCCCATCCTCCCTTCTCCCTCATCCCTCCCTCCCGCCCTCCCTCCCTCCCTCCGCCCGTCCATCAGTCCTTCCTCATCAGTCCGCGCCTATCTTCATCCTGTTCCTCCTCCTCATCATCATCATCATCACCATCCTTGTCCTCCCCCTCCTCCGCCGCCTCCTCCTCATCATCATCAGCAGCAGCAGCATCATCAGCATCGGCATCATCATGATCCTCATCGTCATCATCACCACCACCATCATACCATCATCAAAATCATAACGTCATCATCACTATCATCATCAGCATCAGCATCAGCATCAGCGTCATCATCATCAGCATCAGTATCATCATCAGCAGCAGCATCATCCCCATCAGCAGCAGCATCCTCATCAACGTTAGCATCCTCCTCATCCTCATCCTCCCTTATCTCGTCTACGTCCCTCCCTCCCTCTCCCTCCCTCCCTGCCTCCCTCAGCCCGCTCCATCACCCCTTCCACATCATTCCGCTCATCATCATCCTCATCATCATCTCATCATCATCATCATCATCATCATCATCTCATCATCTCATCTCATCATCATCTCATCATCCCCATCATCCTCCTCCATCATCATCATCATCATCATCATCAGCATCAGCATCATCAGCAGCATCATCATCAGCATCAGCATCATCATCAGCATCAGCATCACAGCAAGCATCATCATCATCATCAGTATCATCATCGTCAGCATCATCGTCAGCATCATCAGCAGCATCATCAATCATCAGCAGCATCATCATTATCATCATCATCATCAGCATCATCGTCGTCGTCGTCGTCGTCGTCATCCTCATCATCATCGTCATCATCAGCATCATCATCATCATCATCATCATCAGCATCATCATCATCAATCATCATCATCATCATCATAATCAGCATCATCATCATCCTCATCCTCATCATCATGATCATCATCATCCTCATCATCATCCTCATCCTCATCATCATCATCATCATCGTCATCGTCAGCAGCATCATCATATCAGCATCAGCATTATCATCATCATCATCAGCATCATCATCATCATTAGCATCATCATCATCAACATCATCGTCATCGTCATCATGATCATCACCCATCATCAACATCATCAACATCAGCATCATCATCATTAGCCGCATCATCATGATCATAATCATCATCATCGTCATCCTCATCATCATCATCATCACCATCACCAGCATCATCATCAGCATCACCATCATCAGCATCATCAGCAGCAGCATCATCAGCAGCATCATCATCATCAGCAGCATCATCATCATCATCATCATCATCATCATCAGAATCAACATCATCATCACCAACACCAGCATCGTCATCAGCATTAGCATCACCATCAATATCAGCATCAGCATCATCATCAGCATCATCACCATATTTTTCTCCATCATCAGCAGCAGCATCATCATAATAATCATCAGCCGCATCATCGGCATCATCATCAGCAGCATCATCATCATCGTCAGCATCAGCATCAGCATCAGCACCATCATCATC